AATTCTCCCTTCTCTGTCCCCTATCAAATCTTCTCCCAGAGGGAACCAGTGTGTTATTTTTCTGTATATCCTTCCAGATGCATTTTATGTATCAAGCAAATGTATATACATATTAAATTTCCTGTACATATTTTTCTGCATTTTTTCCTTTTTTTCAACTTCCTTGTTCTTTCTTACATCTGCATACTATTCCATTATACGGACATATCACTTATTTAATTATAGGCATTTCCATTAATTTTAAAATATTTAATTCAATTTTAGTCTATTCCTAACAAAGCCAAATAGTCTTATATTCAACTATATTTGTGGATATCTTCCTAGAGATGGAACTTGTAATGTATTTACAAGTATCTACTAGTAATGTAATACATTCCTAAGATGTATTTGTAATCTTTTTTTTTCCTTTTTTTTTTTTTTTTTTTTTATGATAGGCACACAGTGAGAGAGAGAGAGGCAGAGACACAGGCAGAGGGAGAAGCAGGCTCCATGCACCGGGAGCCCGATGTGGGATTCGATCCCGGGTCTCCAGGATCGCACCCTGGGCCAAAGGCAGGCGCCAAACCGCTGCGCCACCCAGGGATCCCTGTATTTGTAATCTTGAATAAATATTGTCCATTTGCCCTTCATAGAGGTTGTGCCTGGTTCCCCATAGGCTTACCAACAAATGATGGTGATCTTTGCAAATCCAAAGGATGAACAATGTCATCTCAGTGTAGTTTTAATTTGTATTCTCTTATGATGAATGAGTAAGGTTGAGAATCTTTTTATATATTTTAAAGCCATTTGTGTTTCCTTTTCTGTTTCTCTTGGGTTGTTGTGGTGTTATTACTTATACAATAAGGCAATAGCAAATTATTTATACATTAGTGAAGCTAGCCCTTTGCCAATGAGTTGCAAATACATAATTTTCCCTCAGTTTGATAATTGTCTTACAACTTTGTGATAGCTTTTGTCACATAAGTTTTTTTAATTTTTATTTTATAGAATTATTTTTATGGGTGGGCTTTGTGTTAAGACTTTCCCCACTCTGAGATAACTCTTAAAATTCTCCATGGACTCCTCTAGCACTTTTTTTTCCTCTAGTACTTTTATGATTAACAGACATTCTTAATCATTATAAGTTCTAAATGGTTTAGTGCATAGGATCAGGTTCCCTATTTCAATTTACATCTGAGCTAGATTATCAAATCAGTCCCAGGAAATATAGTTGTAAGGAGCATGGACTTTGGAGTTGATAACTTGAGTTTTCTGCTTCTGGATTGTAAGATCTTGAGTATGCTACTTAATTAACCTCTCTGAGCCTCAACAGCTTCATCTGTAAAATGGAAGTAATAAATAGTACTTAGTTTGTTGTGAGAATCGTGAGGTGATTCATTTAGAGCCCTCATTTAGCACAATGCTTCACAATCAATGCTGGAATGCTGGAATCACTCATTAAATGTAAACTATTGTGATAATGATGATAGCCATAGACTATTCTTTCAACTGATACTACCACCCCAAAATTCATGACTTTAATCACAAGGGCTTGAATAAAAAAATGCATCCCAAATTTGCCAACGTTACCACGTTACCATCAACAATCTAATTGTCTCTAACCATAGTTCTCAACCTTGGCAATATATTAGAATTACCCGAGTAGATTTTTCAACTCCAAAAGCCTGGGTCCCTACCCCAGATATTGTTTAACTGGACTGGGGTATGGCTCAGGCATCAGTATTTTTTAAAAATCCCTCTGATGATTTCAATGCGCAGCTAAAGTTTAGAACCATTATCCCAACACTAGGCCAGTGATTTCAGACGTTAAGGAAAACATGTTCATTGCTTCTAAAGAAAAGTATATAGAAATTTCTATAAGTCAACTGCCATGAATTATTTAGGAAGACATTAAAAAGAGAACATAAGGAGTTGAGACTGATGTCAGATACAGATATTTAGGAAACAAGTTACAAAGTTGAAGATATTCCTTGTATATACTTCTAAGACATCTTTCTCAGAAGATCTTAGGGCAGCTATACTTAAGTACTTTTATTAACCGTTCCTTAGGTATAAGGGATATAAAGGGTTTATATTTGTTAGATGTGTTAACTGAAGCATGGAGACAGGACTCGTCAGCTCTTCAAATTTAGGATTCTCATTACCCCTATTCTTGAAGATAAATTCCTGGATAATTCTCAGAAATACATTATTATCTCTGATTATGAGTAATACAGCTTATCCCTTTATAATTTTAGCAGTTTGGGAAGGATTTGGAATGGTACTTTAGCTCACTTATAGATTCAGTGTGGGATGGGTATACAAGAAAACTAGATATTATCAAATCCAAGGGGAAAAGCACAGTGGTCTAGAGAAATTGGACAAAGAGTCAAGAGGCCTAGATTTCAGTTACTGAATTTAAGTTTCCTCAGCTTCAAAATGAGAGAATTAAGAGTTCCCAAAGGTTTCTTTCAGCTTTAAGTAATTAATTACTATGTCACCAAGCCACCTAAGTAAAGCCTTTCTTAATCAATCAATAGAAAAAAGGAAAAGTATTCTAGCTCAAGCTTGAAAATACATTTTTCATAGATTTGTTTTTACATACATAAAGCAGTGTACTTTCTCAAATATTAAACTAGTCTTGATGATATTAGACTAATATATGTCCTGCCTACCTAGGATATTTACATTTTACGTTTAAGTGGGGGCAATTGGTGTCTTCATTCAGAGAGGTGACTAAAGGAGAGTGAGGGATGCATCCTGAGACCTGTGAGGAAATGTTGGAACACAAGCTTTCTATTGCCTTTCAAATCAAGCCCCAAGGATGACTTCATTTGGGACAGATCATTCGTCCTCCTATATTTACTTCTAATCTTTCTACTTCTCTTTTTGCATTATATTACTCATGATCATTAGTACTCACACAATTCTTGTTTTTGTTGTATTTACATCATCTCTTTCCTAGAAGATGATTGTACAATTTTTAAAAAGACTTTTTTTGATTTGAGAAAGAGTGAGAGACCACAAGCATGGGGAGGGACAGAAGGAGAAGGAGAGGCAAGGAATCCCAAGCCCACTCCACACTGAGCCCAAGCCCAATGAGGCGCACTTAATCTTACAACCCCAAGATCATGACCTGAGCTGAAACCACGAGTCAGATGTTTAACTGACTCAGGCACCCAGGCACCCCAGATTGTACAATTTTTAAGGCCAGGATACATTTATAGTGTATTCCATGAGCTAGTAGTGTCTTAGCACATAAGAAGAGCCTGATAAATGTTTAATTAAATTGTTAAAAAATTAAAAGATTTTAATTTCATTTTTTTATGTGATACTTTAATTTTCATAGTTTACAATACTTTCAATTTTTTCACACATGGTCTTATTTCATGACTGTATCCTTAACTACTTCCTGAAATAGCGATGAGCTTTTCATTCTCAAAAGCCTAGAAGTAGTAATAAAGAGTTAATCGTGATAGCAAAATATGAAATAAACATCTTAGGTAACTTTCAGTAATAAATGTGTAGGATAACTTTAAAAGAAGTATGATTTAGGTCTGCCTGGGTGGCTTATTCAATTAAGTGTCAGCCTTTGGCTCAGGTAGTGATCCTGGGGTCCTGGGATCCAGTCCCTCATCCAACTTCCTGTTCCACAGGGAGCCTACTTCTCCTTTGGCCTCTCTCTGTGTCTCTCATGAATAAATAAATAAAATCTTTAACAAAATAAACAAAAGTAGTATTATTTTGAGGTAACTTAATTTTGATCAAGTAGTATAAACACATCAAAACTAAACTACTATGTTAATTATAATTTACTAAATATATATTATTGTGAATTAACAATGAACAACTGTATAACATTATTAAATATCACAAATCATTAAAATAAATGCTATGTATGTAACTCAGAGAATTGAGTAATGATAGTATCGTAGTATTGGTATCAGCATATGGTAGTAGGGAAATAGTATTCTGATAATGTAGAATAAAATTTCAATTTTAAGTTAGTACTAAAAAGAACCCAATTGTCTAAAAATCTGTATTTAATAAAAATAAAATCACCATTTTTGATCATGATTTTAACAAAATTTTAACCTCATCAAATAGTGAGCTCTAAGGCCCTGAGTGATGATGTATCGAAGCGTTGAATAGTGATTCACACATATTGTACACCTGAAACTAGTATTACACTGTATGTTAACTGGAATTTAAATAAAAACTTAGTGAGCTCTAAGAAATACAAATATGATATATTCAGAGAAAATTTCCTGTTTTTAGCTTAACGGATAAGCTGGGATTTTGGATTGTGAGAGTGATGCTTCATTAGCACTTGTAAATTTATCCATCCTCCATGTTCCCCTTTTGAGATTATATTTGTAGGTTCTAAATTTTTCACCTGGAAAATTAAATACTTTCTAGGTAGGGAATTTTAAGTTGTCACTCAAGTACAAGGCCACTTTAAATGACTGCATAATTTTTTTTTGAAGAGTTTATCCAGACTAAAGAATATAGTTGGTACTGAGAACATTTCCAAGCCTCTGTGACTTCTATATTCAGACAGTAAAGTGCATCAATTTTATTAATGACTTTTAAAACACTCAAAACATAGTGTCTTCCACAAAAATTCATTTTGCTAGCTGCCATAAAAGTACGTTGAAAGAAGTTAAAAAACTATAACTCTTGCAATTTGAACAGGTTCCTCACATTTTGTTCCTATGTACAAATGTTCTTAATTTCAAGATAAAAAGATGATCCCACATTAGAACTATAGTCATTTCACAGTATTGGTAGTTGTGTCCTTTGTTGAGTGACTGTTCTTCAAACTCACTGTCTTATAGATTCATTCTTACATGTTAATCCACAAATAAGCAAACGTCAAGGGCAGTAGCAAAAAAGACCATTTAACACAAAGCTGGCAAACATTTGGAATCACTTGTAGTTTGAAAAATTCCTTTTAATTCAGAAGTCACATTTATTATGTGAATTAAAATTAGTTTCACAAATGGAAATTGTGGATATGGGAAAGTTGCTTTAGGGGAAATTTCACTAGTAAATCCACAACCTTTAAAATTCTGTGTGATTGAATCGAATGTTGATACTTGGCAAAATATTTTCATTGGCGTATCACAAATACTACTTTTTAAAGGTGTATTTAGTTTTTAGTTTCAAGTATGTGGGAGTCCTAGAGGCATGATGACATTTTCTAAAAAAACTCTTTTTTGGTCTTTTCCTCTGCCAAGTCTTTGGCTGAGTTGCCTTCTTTAAATATTAACGAGAACTGCTGTCAAGAAAGGTATTTTCTTTTCAAGAAGGATGTTTACACAGGCAAAATATGTTTTTGGACATGAAAATTCTTTCTGAGGAAAATATCAAAATACTTTCTCCTCTTCCCATCTTTAAAATAAAAGTTAAACCTGAACTGGAATCCTTCCCCCACCGTGAAACCAAGCGATGGTGCCAGACTTGAAGACGAAGGCTTTACTTTGTTAGCCATGTGTTTGTGAAAGCCCCGCGCCTTCCCTAGATCTCTCGGCTGATAATCTCAAACATGGAGGATGCTTCTGATTCTACACAAGGGGTTGCTCCATTAATTAATAATGTAGCTCTCCCAGGCTCTCCGCCGTCTCTTCCTGTATCAGTGACAGGCTGTAAAAGTCATCGAGTAGCCAATAAAAAGGTAGAAGCGAGAAGTGAAAAGCTCCTCCCAACAGCTCTTCCTCCTTCGGAGCCGAAAGTAGATCAGAAACTTCCCAGGAGCTCCGAGAGGCGGGGAAGTGGCGGTGGGACGCGATCCCCCGCGCGGAGCCAGGCCGTGGCAGCGGGAGAAGCGGCGGCGGGCGGCGCGGCGGGGCCGGCGAGAGGCGACCCCCCGGCAGGACACAGGCTCCCCTCGCCGCCTTTGTAGTTGAAAAGGTGGAGAAGTGGCAGTCGGCGTGCTCGCAGGTGAGGGGCTCCGTGAGGTCGTCGGGAGCCGGCCGGCGCCGACAGGGAAGTGTAGGCGAGCGGGGGAACAAAGCGGAGCGGCGCCGGGGTCCGCCCGCAGCGGGCTCCTCGCGGCGTCGGGCCGGCCGGCTGCGCGCCAAGCACGTTGCGAGCCCGAGGCGGCGGCGGCGGCGGCGGCGGCGGCGGCGGGCTGGGAGCCGGCGCTGGGGGAGGGGGCCGCCGCCGTTCCCGCACCGCCCGCCCGCCCGCCCGCGGCGGGGCGTGCGGCCCCATTGTGAGCCGGCCGCCGGGCGTGCGGAGGTGGGGCGCGCTGGGAGGGCAGAGGCGGCGGCTCGGCTCGCTCAATACCCCAGTAGCGGCAGGAGCGACCTCGGCTCCGGTGGCAGCCGCGGCGCGTCAGTCACACAAAAGGCAGTCGAGCTTCCCCCGGCGCGCGGACTGGCCCACGCCGCGGCCGAGCGCTCCCCACCTTACCGGCTTTCCTTTCCCTCCAATTCTGATAGGGAAGCGGGGCCGACGCGGGCGGCCGAGGGTCCGGGCGAGCCCGCGGGCGGACGGGAGATGCCGCTGCTACACCGAAAGCCGTTTGTGAGACAGAAGCCGCCCGCGGACCTGCGGCCGGACGAGGAAGTTTTCTACTGTAAAGTCACCAACGAGATCTTCCGCCACTACGAGTAAGGGCCGGGCCGCGCGCGGGGGGTGCGAGGGAGTGTGGGGACTCCCTCCGCAGCGTCCTTTTGTCTCTCTTCTTTTCCTCGCCTTGGGCTTCTGGCGGGGCGACTCGCAAGTGACGGCTGGCCGCGGGCCCGCGTTTCCCGGTCCCCCGAGCCCGACCCGGGGACTGCGCGGGGTCCCCGGGCGGCGCGACCGGCTGTGGCGCGCGTGGGGAGAGCGGGCCGGGCCCGCGGAAGCTGGGGTCCTCGGCCGGCCGTGGGGACCGCTTCTAGCAGCCGCTGCCGCCCGGGAGCCGAGCAGCGGAAACTCCCCGCCTCGCCCCTCCCCGCCTCGGCCACACGCGCACTCCCGGGCCAGTTCCGGGATCCCCGCCCGGCGGCCGAGGGGATCCCCGCTCGGGTCAGCGGCACGGGGCCGCCGTCCCCCGGCCCGGAGAGGGAATCCCCACCCCCGGGGGCAGGAAACGGCCGGGCCGGGCTTGCTTCCTCGGTCGAGAGTGGAGCCTGACGTTGGGGCTGCCTTAGCCAGGGGAGCGGAGGGAGGAGGGGAGGGGGCCGAGTTGAGACTTGGGGAAGGAGCCCCCACCCCCACCCCCACCCCCACCCCCCGGCGGGCCGGGGCGCAGCGCAGCGGGGGCCGGGACACGCGAGCCATCCCCGGCGGCCTCTCGGCCGGTGCGGCTAGGCCTCGGAGTGTGCGACGCAAGCCTAGTGCTCTGTCACCACCTCTTCTTGGTGACTAACTCCCGGCCCCGGAGAACTCAGCGTCTCCGCCTCCGGGAGACCTTGGTGAGGAAGAAGAAGTCGGGTCCGGGCGGGGAGGGGGGGCGGAAGGGAGGGGGAAAAAGCCGGGCACTGGGCGCACTTAGTTATCACTTTGGCGTAGCCCCAAGGGCGGCGGTGGGCGTAGGGGGAGGGGGTTAAGACAAGTTCAACTCCAGCCGCAGCCAGTCTCCTCTTTTTATCCCCCTGCGCATGTGGGCTGCCTGACATGTGCCACTCGCTATTGTTTTGATAAGAATCCGGAGCTGCTGCGTGTGTAGTTTTCACTCCTAAATTTTCAGTACCTCGCCTGGTTTATCCCAAGAGATCCACTTGTCCTGTGACACCGAACACTGGGGTGCTTTAGAGATGTGTGTTTAAACAGGATCTCCAAGTGAGAACCTAAATTGGTCGATCAATGAAACAGCCTGATCCTCCCTTTTTCTCGTGCGTTATCCTCTCCGCTCAGAAGGGGGGGGTCCCTTTGTGGCTTAGAAACCAAATGTTATAGCAACCAAATAACTTGTGTGTGGGAGGCACCTTTTTCTGAGTGGGGGCTTACTCGAGGGAGGGCTTTCAGCAAAGTCCGCACCTGTCTGAGAAACGAGCAGCAAAGTTAGAAAAATCAGTTCCTTTGAGCTTTTAAAAGTAAGGCTTCTTTTTCTTCAGCTCCACAGAAAGAGTTACACATAAACAAACATGTTATATCGGGAGAAGTTTTTCAGCCGACTGTACTTTTAAAATAGGAGTGCACGTCTTAAATCGACTCCTGTACAGACTTGTTTTGTTACTCAAATAGAGTTCACTCTTGTAACTTAAGTGAATTTGGATTAGGTAACTTGACAAGGATGATGCCTTTTTTTTTTTTTTAAGTTAAAATCCTTGGTAATAATTCCCAATTTAAAAAAAATGGTATTTAAGAGTGCCAAGAAAATAGAAAACGGGGTTAAGCTTCAAACTTCCCCTTTGGCATAAGCAGTCTTACCTTTTTAAGAGACTTTTCCCACTTTAGAAGGGAGCATGAATATGGCTGTATCCCTTTTGAATTAAACTTTTTGTATACTTTGGTTCTTGGTTTACTATAATCATGGAGATATCTGAAATGCCGAAATAAAGGAAGAGATTTTAGATATTCCACCTTCTACTAATATTAAGAAACTGTGTCCTTTGTAGTTTTATAGCGTTAACAAAGTTCTTTTTTAAATAGCTGTTTTTTTTGGGTTTTGTTGTCTTCCCTGTGATGAAGTATTTGGGTTTTTGGAATTTACAAGCAGTTAAGGAGAGGCAGTTGGTTTAGGAGCAAAGAACAAAGGAGAGCTACTAGTGTTCTTAGGTGTTAATTTTTGTGACTTTAAATCGGCAAAAAGGGAAGAAGACTGACATTTAATTGTGTTAAATTTTGGTTTACTTTTTCCCCTCTTAGATGATTACAGAGAGATCAAAATTGTATTCATGGTTTATGGTGATCCTTGGTATTATGGTAATCTGACCCTTGGCACAAGTCTGGAGAAGGAAATCTCTGTTTTTATTCATTAGCTCACCAGTTGGTTTATGTAAATTTGTTTGAAGATTATCCTTTAAGGGCATTATATGAATATTTGTTTTTTGTATTGGGGTGAAGACCACTGTGCTTACCTATTTGCTCAGGTTTTTGATTTCTGAATAGAACCTTTCTACCTTAATCAATCTCAAAGGGATTTTCTACACCTCCCTACCTTGTTCCCTTTGCAATACAAGGCAAAGTATAACTTTTTCTTCTGACTCTGGTTAGTAGAAGTTTGCCAGTGACCTTTTAATTGTTAAATAGTTTTTTGTCTTTATCCTACTTGGCGTAATAGCCTAGCGCTTTCTCCTTTGTCCTAGGCAGCAATGATCATCCCTCCATTTTATCTAGTGTAAGATCAGCTATTACTACATAGTAATGCAATACATTATTGCCTCAATTTTTCTCTTTTCCTAGACCCTGAATTTTTTGGGAAAGGGACTGTGACCAGGATAGATCCTTAGTGGTTATACAGTACAAACTCCTTTTTCTGTTTGTTTGAAGTACATGCTCTTTAACTAATTACTAACTCATGTTTGACCTGCTTTCCATAAGTAAAGAAGACTCATTAAAAATAGCATATTAACTGTAGGTAAATGCATAAGCTAAAGTACAAAAGAATGAAACTGGACCACTGTTTTTGTGTTATACACAAAAGTAACACAAAACTCAAAATAAGTTAAAAGACTTGAACATAAGACCTAAAACTATAAAACTCCTAAGCAGTAAGCTCCTTGACATCGTTCTTGGTGATGATTTTTTAATCTGACACCAAAAGCAAGAGCAATGAAAGCAAACGTAAACAAGTGGGACCATCAAATTAAAAAGCTTCTTCAGAGCAAAGGGAAACATCAAAATTAAAAGGTGTCTTACTGACTGGGAGAAAATATTTGCAAATTATATATCCAGTAGGGGCTAATATTCAAATTATAAAGAACTACAACTCAATAGCAAAAACAACCCATCTAACTAAAAACATGGGCAGAAGATCTGAATAGATATTTTTCTAAAGGAGACCTATAGGTGGCGAACAGGTACATGAAAAGAGACTATACATCCTGAATCACTAGAGAAATGCAAATCAGAACCCCATTGAGATCCCACCTCACATCTGTTAGAATGGCTATTATCAAAAAGAGTAGCATAACAGTTGCTGGCTGGGATGAGGAGAAAAGTGAACTCTTCTGCACTGTTGGTGGAAATGTAAATTGGTGCAGCCACTCTGGGAGACAGTATAGAAGTGCCTCAATTTGAAAATCTATACTCATTCCCGTGTTCATTGCAGCGTTACTTACAATAGCTAAGATATGGAGACAACCTGTTTATCAGTGGATGAATGAATGGAAAAAGAAATTGTTGTCTGTATTTCAAAGAAATATTACTCAGCCATAAAGAGAATGACATCTTGCCATTTGGGACAATATGGATTGACTTTGAAGGCATTATGCTGAGTGAAGTCAGACAGAGAAAGGAAAAATACCAATGATCTCTCTTATATGTGAATCTAGAAAAAATACATTAAAAAAAAAAAAAAAACCTAAGCTCACACAAAAAGACCTAAGCTCTATAGTCAATGATATATTTTTTTGAGATTTTATTTATTTTAACCAGAAAGAGAGAGATAAGATAGCACAAGCAGGGGGAGTGGCAGGAAGAAGCAGGCTTCCCACTGAGTGGGGAGCCTAATACAGGGCGTGATCCCAGGACCCTGGGATCATGACCTGAGCTGAAGGTGGATGCTTAACCAACTGAGCCACTCAGGTGTCCCTTTAGTCAATGATATGGTAATAGTTAGGGGACAGATGGTAGCCACACTTGTAGTGAATATACCGTAATGTATAAGCTTTTCAAATCAGTTAATTGTACACCTGAAACGAACTTAATGTGTGTGTCTACCATACTTTATTTTTTTTAATTTTTTTTTACCATGCTTTAAGAAAGACTTGATTACCCCCACCTTCAAAACAATAATAATAAAAAAAATAAGCTCATAGGCAAAGAGCAGAATAAAGCATGTACTTTAATCTCTTAGATAAGATAAAATTTTACTCTGTAATTTGGTTAACTGACCATTTTATTATTTATTTAGGACTGTGGATTGTTAAAAAGTGGAGCAGTCAGGTCTGAATATTAGGAACTCTAGATTTGTGGGATGGGAAGATGATTTCTTGTATTACTCAATGACTTAATTTCCTAAATAGTTTTTGTTTTTGTTTTTTAGCCATTTAGACCCTTAGAATTGGAATGTACTTACCGTCTTTGAGTGAGTTTCATTTTTCAAATGGTTCAAAATGTAGGAATTCTTCATCACTTATATAGGCTGGCTTTATGTTTCAACCTGGCTTTCTATTTTTTTTTTTTTTGAAGATTTTATTTATTTATTCATGAGAGGCACAGAAGCAGAGACATAGGCAGAGGGAGAAGCAGGCTCCATGCAGGGAGCCTGATATGCAGGACTTGATCCCGGGGCCTCAGGGATGAAGCCCTGGGCTGAAGGCAGGCGCTAAACCACTGAGCCACCCAAGGATTCCCTCAACCAGGCTTTCTAGTAAAAGGTGTTTAACTCATTTATAAAGCTCCTGATTTTCCTGGTTCATCAGCTCTTCATTTGTTAATTCAGTCCTTTCAACAGCCCTGTTTTAGAGATAAGGAAACTGGATTTGGGTTAAAGAGAGTGGTAGAGAGTAGTAGTAGA